AAGTTTCTTTCGATGAAGCATTATTGAATTGGTATATGAAATGTGCTCTTTTTTCTTTTATAATGGCCTGATTGGTATGATTTCGCATTTGTCTATAAAAGTCTAAATGTCTTTGTAACTTAGTTCTCTTAAATCTCCTCAAAGCTTCATCTCGTTCATTCATCATAATTTTGATAACATCTGTTAACCATGGTGCTTTTGCTTTAGTGACTCTGGATGAAATTATAGGTATATGTCTATCAAACAGTTGATTCAAACAATTAACAAGATACGATAATTTTTCATCCACAGTCTCTTGGTCGAAAATTCTAAAAAAAGAGGTATTGAATAAATCTATCTGAAATAAATTTTCGTTGAAATTTTTGAAACTCCTGTATGTACACATCTTTTGTTCCCCTGAGCTACCACCTACTTTCAATTTGCAGTAAACAATAGAATGATCTGATATACTATGATGGATAATACCCTTTTCTACTTCAGTGCTTTCTTGCACTATGATATAATCTAGCAGAGTTGCTGATGTAGCAGTAACTCTTGTAGGAACATCAATAACTTGACAAAGATCTAGTGTTTCTAATATTGAGTGGAATCTTTTGACACAATCATTTTCATAATCGAACAAATTCAAATTAAAATCACCCATACAAATAATTTCATCCACAGTTGGACCAATATCAATCAAACTGTTTTCAAATTCATTTAAAAATACACTTGTATTTTGTTGATGTGGCTTGTAAATTACTCCAATAGCAAATGTTTTCTTCAGAATAGTAACTTTAATCCAATATTGCTCCCAGATGTGATCCTGTCTACTCTGAATAATTTCACAACGGAATTTTTGTTTAACATAAATAGCCAATCCTTTCCCTCTACAATTCCGATCCGCTCTGTACACTTGGAAATCATCAAATTGCAGTTGGTCATTACTAACAGTATTCTTCAACCAAGTTTCGCATAATAAGAGTATATCCATTGATTTATCTAAAACTACTTGCTTAATATTTTTCAAAGAAGGTAATAATGATCTTGCATTACAACAACCTATTTTTAATGACATTTCATGAAATATTTAGAATAGATACAAAAAAAAAATATAATTATTTCTCCTTGCCAATGTAAGAAACTTAAACTTATGATAATGAACCAAAGAAATGAAGGTTCTTGCTCAAATCTAATCTAATACTGAACTGCGGGACGACCCAACTGCCCACAGTGCTGCAAACGTAATTATTAAAATAGTATGTGCACCAAATAGAAAATGTTAATGTCCTCATATAATATATAGTCAGTGTTCGAACAGGAACACCAAGAGTTCGTTCATATGCGTAATTTATTTATGTCATCTAGACTTCCAATTCTAATTCCATTTTGTTGACTATTCAACTTGACATAAATTTTTCCGGAGTTAGTCCACACTACTCCTGATGCCCCAACTTTTTTCATAGCTTCACTCACAATTTTCAACTGTTCAGTCGTCAAATCCTCTCTAATGACAATTTTCGTGGATTTCAACAGCTTCTTGTTATTATAGACCATATTCTTGAAATAGTTTGAAGAAAATCTCAACATAATTGGACTGGTTTTATTCAGTTCCTTTTTCTTGAGTCTATAACAGAATTCAATACTGGACTCATCTAACTTCAGTTTCATTTTTGTAGTGAAGATATCCAAAACAGATTTAGTAATGTTTTCATTCACTTTTTCTTCAACTCCATAAATTCGAAGGTTTCTACTTCTTCTGATTTGCTCGTGTTTCTTTTGATGGTTCATCAAAATGTTTATCATATCCTCCTGCTTCTGTAGTTTATCATTTATTTTCCGATTCTCGTTTTTCAATTCCTCGATCATTGGGTTGTATTTTTGTTCGATAATACCAGTTATTGTTTCGGTTAATTGCCGAATAAAATCATCTGCTGTATATAATTTCGTGACGAAATCTTTAACAACTGAGTGCAGTTCATCCTCACCCTTACTGCTTTGGCTTTGACTTCGAGTACCGTCTCGACCCATATCAAAAAAATAAATCAAACTCACTGCGATATAATTTCTTCGAAGTGATTGGAATTTTCAACAACGATTGCTTGACACAAACACTGTCCGTACAAAAATCCGAAAATCCAACATACATCGGTTTATCATAACAAAAACTAGTCTTTTCCAACTGGATTGCAACCAAGTTCTCACTGAATTCTGTGCTGCATTCGAAATGTGGTTTGGCTATCAGAGCCTTTGCTCCCAACGAGTTGTTTTTATTTTCCCAGCGTGAACAAAGTTTCAAATCAATTCTTTTGTCGACATTTTCCATGGTTCTTTCGAATATCGAATTCATTGATAATTTGAAAAGTTCTTGTTCAAATTCGTTTGGTGCAGAATTTCGAAGATGCGTGTTCAGGTCAATATAAGGCCTCAACCACGCCCATTGGGAGAATTCCAAGATTCTATGGATTTTCGTTAGTTTCAAACCATATTTCAAACACTGCTTCAAATTTCGATAATGAATAACGTATATGCATTTGTTTCGTGAATTGGGGATTTGTTTGGCGCTCTTACTCTTTAGCGGGATCATTTGTTCTGGGCAAAATGGTAAATCGTTGTGATCATGGTGTAGGCTGGCTAGATATTCCAAGTCCACTTCTAAAACGTATCCTATCGATGCGTCGTCCTTAATCGCGGGACAGTCAAAGTTTTCGATATCCTTAGACTCAACCCACTTATGATCACCTGTTGGAAGATAACTTGCCATACTTGCTCCATATAAATTTGTTGCATCCAAATACATGATGTATGATGTTGGTTTCTGAGGATCAAAGTTTGGTAAAAATTTGTTATTGGCCACAGCTTTCCTCTTGCTACATTGTGCCACCCCTCTTCGAATACCCTTCTTGAAAAAATGAATCATATCTATATCAGTCAAGAGCTGAAGTTCTATTTGTGTATAACGTAACATGGCATCCCAGCTCAGCGCTGGCGCTGTCAGATAGTGGGCAGGATCTTGTTTATATTGTTGCATGCATACTTTTCTGAAATTCTCAAACACGTCTGCTAGCAGCAGACAATCGGATTTTAAATATACATCGGCGTAATCTCCCAATGTTTCACATTCGAAGGTATTCCACACATCTATAAATCTATTATAATCCATGTCTGAAAGTGATTCGCCGGTTAAATCATTATGTAACTTCTCTTTCGACGGTAGCTGGGTTTCCTCCAATTTTTCCAAGGAGTCCACACAGTTGTAAGGAAAAACCCCTTTTTGTCTCATTAGATCAAATTGTCTGCTATCTTGGAAGTATTTTCGAACCTCGTTACACTGTTGCACCTCCAAATTTTTGCTGAGTTTATCGAGAGATTTTGGTAAAAATCGAAAAGAGTCTACAAATCTCAACTGAATATATTCATCAAATGCTCTTGACACTTCAGATTTATCAACCAATATTGACTTCGAGAACGAAATATACTTTTCTTCAGTTTGGGCTATCACTGATATTTTTTTTCCTTTCGTTGCTAATTTCTTGATGAAAAGGTGAAAGTCATAATTTGTGAGGTTGTGAAAGAATACAGGAATAGTTTTCGAGGTCTTGTAGTTCAAATTACAAATACTATGGGCAGCTGCACGAAATCTTTCTGTGTAGTAACAGTGATCACGTACTTTGATATCTGTTGGCTTGAACGGCTTCTCACATATATGGCACGTGGTGCTATTTTGGAAAGTTTGCTTCTCTATCTCAGTAAGTGGATGCATTTCACGAACGTCCTTCATGTGATAAGTGTATAAATCTTGAACGGTTTCACCCAATTATCTCACAAAAACGCCGGCAGCATCAGCACCGCGATGAAGTACCGACCTTGAATAACGGTCATCAAAATTACACTTTACATAAAACGCGAACGTATATGGTTCATGTTCACATACTTCAACTGAGAATGATTTCTCGTCACAGGGTTCATTGTGTTGAATTGGTTTGAGTAAACTTTCAAAGTCAGCATGAATCACAAACGGTGGTGGCAATTGTTTTTCAAAGTTAGTGAATTTGAGGATGTTTTCAGGCACTGACTCACCATATTTATTGATTTTTAAATTGGTGGTAAGTATCTTTGTGCTCATATGATTGCAATCATTTTCCTCATGGCTTCTCAACTGCTCCACTGTAGCGAACGATTGTAGACATCCATCGCAAATATATATTTTACCATTGCATTTCGATTTTTGTGTTTTCACTAATTTGCCCAGGTCCTTGATGAGATAATAATGTGTATTGCCAACCTTATCGGCTATAAGCAATAAATTCACATGTGTTGCTTGACGACACGAAGTGAAATGTAGAGGTCCAATTATTTCATTTATCATCTTTCCATCTTCGAAAGACGATTCAAGACCGAACACATTAACTGAGATATTGTTGAGTCGCTCGAACTTTGGGATATCCTTCAATTTCATGAGAAAGTCGAGTCCTTGGAAATTCAACAGGGTATTGTATTGTGGATATGATGACGATCTTATTGGATGATCGTCTGCAGAAAAAATCGCAGCATTGATGGACCATGCGAAGCAGGCTCTGTCCTTATTCTGAATATTCAAAACCGCATGTTTGGATTCTATAGCTCTGGGCAGCTTGATGTATGAAGAGGCCGAAATTGATGAGAATTTATTAATATTCACATCCAAAAACATGGCATGTTTCAATATCCACCCAGAATCCCGTTCTTGAAACTCTGACGCCTTCACAATCATTTCTTCCTTGAAGTCATCATAATCGTGCTCAATGTTTGATGATTTTGTCAGGGTTTTATTTCTGGTGTTGAAGGACTTGATATCAGATAGTTCCGTCTCTGGTATGACATACAATCCAAAAAGTTCCAAATTCATCTTCAAGCTATGATGGGTCCCCAAATATTCGGTCAGAACTGCCAGAACTTTTGGTTTCACTTCCTGCAAAAATTCGTGAAGATCGGTGAGGGCTTTGTCACTGGAAAATCGCTAGGTGGCTATCCTGTTCTTGAGAGCACAACGAAGTTCCACTATCCCATCCCTCAAATTATTTTCAACAGGTTGATCTACTCTTATTCGCTTTTCAGCACCCTGAGTATTAGGTTCCTGCATAGGAAAATAGTTGAACAATGTGTTGTTCGAAGTAGATGCTTGCTGATCGTCCGCACTATTGGGCTTTATCTTCTTGGCCGTTGGTCCATTCACATCTTGATTATTCCTGCAATTTTTGCGTACATGCCGGAATAAAGAGCTCGTTGAAGAAAATTCATTGCCACAATAACCGCACTTCATTATCACTTAGTGAACTCGAACGTGTTGAAGAAACTCAGACTAGCTCAAGACTGAACTAGAATACACCGGTCCTAACCCGCTGGAGAAACTTGAGGACTGAGGCTCGCTCAAGACTGAACTAAAATACGCTGGCTCTTACCCGATTTCATATCGTTCAGTAAGGGGGTACCCGCATGAGCATCCGCTGCCCGCATATTTGCAAAACCAAACATCTGATACCCGCATCTGCTGCCCGCATTATTCTGATGACTCATACTATACCCGCATTATTCGGATGACTCATACTATACCCGCATCATTGTGATGACTCACGCTTTACCCGCATATAAGTGAATTAGACTGAGTGCACGTGTTCTCAAGTACTTAATGGTTAATGAATTAGATCATAGAGTGCTTTCCTTCATGGGGTGATTGATTAATTAGGGGGAATTTGATGGAGTGTTCTGATTGGCTGTCTGATGCCGTGATGCCTGGTCCAGGATTCCTAATATATATCTACTCATATGTTCGCAACGATCACATGAGACGACATCGAAGCAAGTATAACTTACACAACAGCAGGAACAAGAAACTTCGACTCCGACTATGTTCACATTGTAACTCCGCATTCTAGCATCTGACATGCCAACAGCAATAGCAGGAAAGATTGCACTGACCATATGGGACGACTCCAAAGGACATATAACGAGAACAATAGGCAAGTGAGATACTTCGACAACATCCGTCTGCACACTGTATCTCTGTATTCTATCTCACATACATACCTCTGGAGCAAAAAAATTCGCAACGATCATATGAGACGACATCGAAGCGGGTATAACGCACACAACAGGCAGAAAGAGAAACTTCGACTTCGACTATGTTTACTTTGTAACTTTGCATTCTAGCATCTCAAATGCCCATTCAAGGAGTATATATGACAGCTCATTATATGCGAGTGGAGTACTATACTTTTTTATATCTACTCAAAACTTCGATTCCAACAATCAAGAGTCGGTAAACCGGCGTGTTCGCCAAAACTTCGAATTTATCAATCTTGATAATAAGTCGGTTATACATCTTATAGGTAGACATTGTCTGGTGTATCCTGAATCAAGATAACGCTTACAACAGGGAGAACAAGAAACTTTGGCTTCGACTATGTTTACACCGTAACTTCGCATTCGAGCATCCCTGTATTCTTTCATCTCACATAGATACCTCTGAAGCATAAACATTCGAAACGATAATATGAGACGACATCGAAGCGGGTATAACGCAAACAACAGGCAGAACGAGAAACTTCGACTTCGACTATGTTTACTTTGTAAGTTTGCATTCTAGCATCTGACATGCCTACAACAATAGCAGGTACGATCGCACTGACCATATAAGACGACTCCGAAGGACATATAACGAGAACAATTGGAAAGTGAAGATACTTTGACAACATCAGTCTGCACACTGTATCGCTGTATTCTATCAACTCACATGGATTCCTATGGAGCATGGTAGTTCGCAACGATCATATGAGTTGACATCGAATCGGGTATAACGCACACAACAGACAGAACAAGAAACCTTGATTTCGACCATGTTTACTCTGTAACTTCGCATTCTAGAATCTGACGATCGCACTGACCATATGAGACGACTTTGAAGGACTTATAACGAGAACAATAGGCAAGTGAAGATAGTTCGACAACATCAGTCTGCACACTGTATCTCTGTATTCTATCATCTCACATGA